TACATTCTTCACATTCTATCCTAACACACTCTTCTATCTAATGTTATTTGTTAGCCAGGTATTACCAGCCAAGACATTCTTCACATTCTATCCTAACACACTCTTCTATCTAATGTTATTTGTTAGCCAGGTATTACCAGCCAAAACTTTCTTCACATTCTATCCTAACACACTCTTCTATCTAATGTTATTTGTTAGCCAGGTATTACCAGCCAATACATTCTTCACATTATGTGAAGAATGTCTTGGCTGGTAATACCTGGCTAACAAATAACATTAGATAGAAGAGTGTGTTAGGATAGAATGTGAAGAATGTCTTGGCTGGTAATACCTGGCTAACAAATAACATTAGATAGAAGAGTGTGTTAGGATATTCTATCCTAACACTGTCTTCTATCTAATGTTATTTGTTAGCCAGGTATTACCAGCCAAGTCATTCTTTACATTTTATACTAACACTGTCTTCTATCTAATGTTATTTGTTAGCCAGGTATTAACAGCCAAGACATTCTTCACATGCTATCCTAACACACTCTTCTATCTAATGTTATTTGTTAGCCAGGTATTACAATACCTATTTCAGTACCTATTAAAATCTCACCTGTATCCCCGACCATTATATAGATATCTCCAGAATAATAGTTCCTCCATCTCGATTCTATTAGCATTTCAGCTTTATAGCACCCACTTTGTCCATTCTTTTTGTTCATTATATATTCAAATCCAACTATTGTTGAAGAGCTCTTGCTTAGGTGCCAACCATTTGCTTTCGTTCAACTCTACTTGAAAGTCACCTGTGTTTTTCAACGTTTGTTTGTCCATCCACAGCCAAACCAATCCTCTCATTCAACTTATGTTAATCATTGCTTTGCTAGCGTCAAATTCTAGTTTACCTACTTTATTGTGCTCATTTAATATCGGCCTTTGTGAAGGATATTATTAGGTGTTTTACCTAATATCCAAAAAAATGTTTTGAGAAAGAAATTGGTTAAGTCTAGTTACATGAAAAATGATCTTGACCAAGCTTATATCTCACAATTATCACCAGTTGGTCTAAGTATCCAGGCCAATACTTTGTTTCTTCCCTTTTTCCATCTATTTCATCATATTAGAATCATGGGTGCCATGTTTGATTGACTGTCTTAAGTAAATGTAGTAGAAGAAATTACTATACAAACCTCGGAAACAAACTTTTAAAAAATCACTCATATTTACGTCTCAAAGGAATTTTGTTAGTATAAACTGCTTATCGAATTTGTGGATAAGAAACCTAAAATATTGCTTCGTCTAGTTTCTAATTTCACCAGTTTCGGTTACATGCTGTGATATAAGTAATGAATGAAAATATTATATGCAAGACATCAACAAACATTTTGCATTACGTTTCTATACGATACTGTCCTGTTATCCTTTATTTCCATCAACTTATACGGACCGGTTGTGGTCTAGCAGTTAGCGTACCGGGCTTCGGATCCAAAGGTTGAAGGCTCGAACCACGACATGCCGTTGAACACGCTCTGCACTTTCAGCTGTGAATGCGTTTTAACTGCAACAGTAATCCCGTTACTCGGCTAGGAGTAGCCACGTAAGCGGTGGGTACTGCTGCCCACCCCCTCTGTTCAGCATTTATAAGTTAGGGATGACCTGTGCACTTTGGAATATTTGACCTAGACATTTAACCTATGTGTCGTATATGTTCTTTTGAGATTGAAAATACTAAATATAGTTCACCAATAGATACTTCGTTATTAAGTAGTTGTTATTTTAATACATAATACTTTGTCCCCAGTGGGTCAGTGTTAATTTTATGGACTTACAACGCTAAAATCCGGGGTTCGATTTCCATGGTGCACAGATTTCAGGTAGTCTGTTGTATAGCTTTGTGCTAGAACAAACAAAACATCATACTTTCATGTAAGCACATTTCAATTTTAATGCTGCTACAGTAGTTTACAGGACATACATGAAAGCATAATATCAATAACAATGCATTCCTATGGAAAATGTTGTGTGAGATATAAGATGTATCTACAAGGTTGTTCCCACCTCTTAGTTGTGGGCTACCTTTCTAAAATAACTGTTTGCGTTAATCTCAAAGTTTGGTGTGCAAGTTTGTCAAATTGGTATTTTGATTTCCTCTGAACACCGCTTTTTAAATAGTAAAACAGGCTTTGCAAAAATTGGCATTAAAAATTTTTATTTGCTTATCAGTGTTTTCTTAAAACATTTTAGAAATGCTTCTTAAAAACCTGCTTTATATATACATACATATGTATAAACTCCACCTAACTATTAAGAGCAGTTTTTTAAGTGAAATGTTTAATATATCTTTGTCTTTATAACCACTGTAGTCATTTGGTAAATCTTTCTCTGCCTTACGAAACAAATTGTCATATGCCACTGACCGAAAGGCCAAATCGTTTGATTTCAATTTAGTCTCTGTTAATGTAAACAAAATTTAATTGTTTGAATTGTTTATTACAATTCTTAACTTTCAAATTCAGAATACCTTGAAATAGGCTTACTTTACAATTCTTAACTTTCAAATTCAGAATACCTTGAAATAGGCTTACTTTACAATTCTTAACTTTCAAATTCAGAATACCTTGAAATAGGCTTACTCGATCTTTTATAGTTTTCAAGGTCGTGATATTCGTTTCTCCCCAAAACAATATCTATATAATAAAAAAAAGACTAATATCTACACTGATGCAAGTTGTAGATAAATAATCTACGATAATTATAGAAACGGTTCACATGCAGGAGTCACCAAAAAAATAAGCGAACGCGTTGTACAATGTGTTTGTATTTTGTATGCGAGTCCTTTGCATTACGCAGAGCATTACTTGTTTTCATGTTGTAATACGATTGATCAAAGTACAAATGTGGAATATTGTTCCGAATGTTCTGCTGCCTTTTTGTTTTCTCAGTTTTTACATAAATAGATATAGCCTCAAGAATGTTCATATCGGGACTTTGTGCGGGTCAAACTATGGTTTATGAGTGCTTCATCCGCCTCTTTATCGTTCATATATCGTTTCAACACTTTTGGTGTATATACTTGTGATCGATGTCTTGCTGCTGCAGTGATCTACACAAAACTGATGGCACCCTGACTGCTGACGAGTACATACAAATTATTATCCGTCATTATATTCCCTATGAAGCACAACTCGTCTGCGGGGATTCATTTTCTGTTCGCTAATATGCAGCCCAAATTTCTACTGATTTCCAACCGTGTTTCAGTTTAGATTTTGTACATGGCTATAATACTGTTTTTATCTACGCCCTCGAAAGTGTCGTTTATTGTTATCAAACAGTTCGAACTTTGATTCACTTGTAAAGATCAGGCATTCTTTACTCATTATACTGCTTATAGTCAGATGCCCATTTCAATCTTTTGATTTGGTTATCTCTTTTTAGCAACGATTTTCGAGCAGCTTCACGTCAACTGGGACCATTAGTTCTAATTAATGTGAATAATATTGTTTAAGATGGGACGTGAATGACTCAGTGATGAGTGTATCGGAATATGTATCTCGGATCCTAACCTTTGCGTTCCCTTATCGTCAAAAAAATATCGCATGCTATAAGGGGACAGTCAAATTCCGCTATTGTTAATAACTGTCTTTCCTGTAGTCAAGCAGTTCAAAAGTAAGGGCGACTAGTGCGGATAGCTATTGAGTAACCTTGCGTGTATAAGTGAAAACAAACAAATCGTTCTCAATATAACATTCACATCTGTATTTACAGAAAAGTTGTTGAAAAGATCTGTACTCAACTGTCTCGTAAAGAAACACATCCTGAAATACTAAACATCACTTTTGCGCCGTTTCGGTTTTCTTCTATTTTCTTTCGCCTATCTTCTTCAGAGTCCTGCAAACAACTCCTACTAAAACACTGAGTCATGCAACAATTGTTCGCAAGGAGCAACCTCAATCAGCCAAAACTTTAATTCCTATATGCTTTTCATGACATAGCTCAATCCGGGAGTCATGTTAAAACACACTACTACTACTGGGTATAGTATGACTGCCTGTACTATTATTGGCTTTACACCAGTATTACATTTTCTGATTGATTGGTTGAGAACCAGGCACAATGTAAACTGTCAACATGTAACTATGCTCTTGTGCCAACCATCTCACTCGACAAATGAGTTGGCATTTCCATAGTATTTCCCTTTTATATCCTTCACCGTTTCTGTAATATCAGTGAGATATTACATTAAAATAAGCCTGAAATTAATTTAAGTTAATTTTCGTGATCCAGTACAGATTTCCAGTTAGAAGAATGTATAGAGACATTTCCACTACATATTGTTTGTTTTATGTCACTTCCGACGAGACATTTTCCATATATATCAGTGAAATCCGCTAACTTAATCAATTTTCTAAAATTAAAGGTAAGATTGTTTGTCCGTTGTTAAGCACAAAGCTACCCAAAGACTATCCGTGCTCTGTCCTTTAAAGCTAGATGTATTGTTGTACACCCACGTTATTGAAAGCACGACTGCACCCCATAATGCCCGCTACTGAATGCGTCTTTATATAGAATTCGTAGAAATATCAGTACATCATTTATAATAAAACGCATTTGAAGTTCCACTTAAAATATTAAAAAAATTTTCAGGAATATCAATGCATCATTTATAATAAAACGCATTTGAAAATATCACTTAAAATATTTCTTTCTTTTTCTTTTTTTGTCATGGCGTGTCAGCAGTAGAGCATTCATGTAATCACGAACATATATCACACCTAAATCAAACTTTGGTGTGAGGTTATGAAGAGTGTGTGCGGGCATAATCTATCCTCTACTATCAGTTCTTGTGCAAAGATAATAAATATAGATTCGCAAATGTAACGTTATCATAAAAATTATTTCATCATTATTTACAAATATCTTCTTTTACAACGCCAGTAAAATTTAAATGTAAATATAACTTTATTATAAAAATACACGGTTTAACCAGTCTTTCCATAATTCCTTTTCTTAAGCTTTCCAGCACAAGACGAGGAAGAACACAATGAGACCAGTTATTTTCTGCTTGTTCTCCGCTGTCTTGATCTACACAGTGACTGGTAAATTCTGTGACGAGTCGCAATGTAAGCGGCCATCCTGCGTCTGCGACACGCAAGGTTCACCAGAGGGCCTACGGGTCGAAGACACACCACAGTTCGTTATGCTGACTTTTGACGACGCTGTGAATGTTGTTAATTTTCCAGACTACGAGGAACTTTTGATGAATGGCAGAAAAAACTTGCGAAGTAATTGTCCTATCCAAGCTACCTTTTTTGTTTCCCATGAATACACTGATTATTCTCTAGTGCACGAACTCTGGCGATACAACAATGATATATGTGTCCACAGTATCAGGTACATTAAACGTTTTTCATTTATTCAGTTTTCTAATTAAACTCCGGTAAACAATTTGTTCTGTTTGTTGCCTATATGCTTTCTAGATCTCATGTTTAAAATACACTTTAAATATGATCGTGGATTAAATGACGCTTTATTATTGTTTAACGACAACAGAACAATACTCTAAAATCTGAGTTATTGTAAATTTGCTAAAAACTGGAAATAATGAAATTGTGTCGATTATTATAATTTATTACGAGCAATGTTTCTTTAGAATATTTGATTAACACAGGATCTCTCCCTCAACCAGAGGTGGAGTGATGTTTTGGGGTGGAAAGTTCAGAATCTGCTGTATACAATAGTATGATGGTAACGTAGTTCACTTCGGAATAATGAGCAATCAAAGAAACACAGGGTTTCGGAGTGGACGCACCACCTTATCAGCAACGGTCACACACACGCTAATTGATTATTTCTTTTTTCTTCATTCTAAAATCAAATTATTCATTGTTTGAGGTTGGATACTTTATTGTTCATGTACTAGCGGAAGGTTATAACCATCGTTACTGTCTTTGTCAGCACCAAACCTATTTTTGAGTGCCGCAACAGCATCTTTGGGTTTGATAGGTGGATCTGCCTCAACAACGGCTGTCATAAAGTTCTTCGTGATCGCATGCACAGCGGCTGCAGAGGTTACAAGTCCAATATCTCGGAACCTTGCACATGCAGGTAATCGAGGGAATAATGATGGCATGAAGAGTAGCAAAGTTCCAGTCATGATCAGCAGGAGTTGGAGCATTTGTTGAAGATCTATTGGGATCTGATCTAAAAACTGATGCAATGACTGGTAAAGAAGAATTACGTAGTGGACCCATAGGCTACACAACAAAAAGTATTGTCATTAACTATGTGGTTTTGTTGATGATGTGACCAGTCAAAGTTCAGTCAATTTTTGTCCAGTTTGGGAATTGTAACTTGTAATGGTCATACTTCATCACCTGCTATATTCTATACAACTTTCACCATAATACAAAAAAAAACGGATTTCTTTTGCGTCCAATTCCTGCCACCAAGATGCTTCTGGTTGAGGGAGAAATTCTGTGTCAAATTATTGTGAAACTGTAATTTTAATAGTTATTAATAATATTATGATGTCTAATGTATTTGAAAACGAAAGAACTTTTAGTTACTACAACCAACATGACACTGATATGTTACTACAACCAACATGACACTGATATGTTACTACAACCAACATGA